GGAGTCAATTTATGAGGTTGACGACCTTTCAAATGGTTGAATTAAGTAGCCCGACGATCATCTACCTGTTTTATTTGCTTTTGCCTTGAAAAGATAGAAAAGGATTTAGGTGGAATAGAAGCTGTCGATTCGGATGCGTTGGCGACCAAAGTGCCTCATCAATCAAAAGCATTTTACCCGATTAGGGCTTTTAAAACATTCATCTTCATCTTTGCTGTTTCGAAGATACCCTGATTCCAAGGGGGACAAACGTTACGAATGTAGCACTTCGGGTAACTCCTAGAGGCACAAAGGGGGCCTGTCGGTGTGAGATAAGGCCCATTTCTTGGCTGCAGGGTTCTTAAATATCGCCTCCTCTTCAAGACGAGACTACACCGAAGAATGCCTGTCAACAGCATCATAATGTTACACACTATGTAGTGCTTGCCTGCCTACAAACAAGTGAAGGAGGGATATTACAACCTTTGAGTATAATCTACATAGCTATGCTAAGGAACCTCTGGAAGATGGAGTTAGAGTTGCTGAAACCTGATCATGGTCCATTCATGATCATCGTATTGAATTGGAAGTAAGGAAGTTCGTCAGGTTCGAGGTTGTTGAACGCCTTCGGTAGCCATATAGCCAGTTTCCGACCTTCATGGGCGAAAAGCCTTTTCTGTTGTGCCTTGACTTGGAATCCATTTGTCCTGCTATTTTTGTCACCCCTTACTGCTGATAATCTTGGAGCAGGTGGCACCTCTGGAAGAATGGCCTATTATTGACATGGAGAGGAGGTGGGAGATAAAGCACAGCTAGGAGGTCGTACCTTTAAACCGAAATCTAAATTGTCAGATTTCCACAACTATTTGTGTGACACTCAAAATACAGACCATTTTCATATGTGGATTTGCTTATTTTTGGCATGAAGTTGAAAACATCAGGACAAGCAGTAGACGGTAGTTGTTAATTTTGCTGCTTCAAGTGAAAGGGGCATTGGGTCAAAATGCTTTTTGAAATTTGGCGGTTAAAGAATCTGCTTTGTTTTCCCAACGCTTAAAACCAACCGTTGCAAACAGTCCTTCCCTCTAGGTGAGGAGGAATAAGCGATGCCTAAAAGTGGTCTTATAATGTTTGGGTGAAGAGCTGGAACACTTTTAACATATTTTGACAACTTTGACTGTAAGAATTGAGAAATGGCAACATAAATATTTTATTCAAAAGGATAGACAGGTTAGTTGGTTTAAAAAGCTCTAAAGAATTCATCACGCTTGCCAACTATCTTTCCACTCAAGGTGCATTCCTGCATTTTAAATAATCTTGCCGACGCTTATCCAGCCGAAGTCAACTTTCCTTGCCTCAATAAATGTTGTAGATTGTTCTGTGGGGTTCGCTGCACATTTCACTCATCATTGAAAATATTTTTTTTGATAAATGAGGCTACTTAGTTGCAAAAACTTCAGCCGTGGAGTCCCTTTCCCTCCCTCCGTCCTAATTGCTCACTCCGCACAAAAAGTGTGTCCTCATATCCGTTTGATGTTTAAAGAACCTGTCCAATTCACTTCTAGGACCTGGGGGTAAAGATATACATGTAGCTATAGCTACCAATGAAAAAATGCCCAAAATTAGGACTCTTTTGCAACACTCTGTTGACTAGTCTGCTTTTTTGGTAATTATCTGAATTTTAGCCCTAATTTAAGAATTAAAGCTTTCAATTTTCATCATTTTCTGTTAATGTGCAGGAGCTTGAATCCCACCGAGATTTCATCCTGAGTAATCGGGTCCCAGACACAGTGCGGTCGGCCTTATTTGCCGATGACGTGCTCATATATGGCTGCTGGCTGCCTGATAGAGAGTAGCGAGAAGAGGAGTGACGGATAAACCAAGTGGCTCTAATCTTGCCTCTTTATGGTATTGGAATAGCGTTGACATTGCAGGAGTTCTTAGCTCATCTAATGTCCACCTGCATTTGATGATGGCCGGTCAGGAGGGAGTGAATGAGAGTGCGAAGATCAACGAAGAACCAAAATTAACCTCAATAAAAACAATCCATATAAATTGGTACAGAAACTACTTTCGAATTTGTAGGCAAGCCCAGCATTTTCGTTCTCTACTGTATCTGCTTTCTTCCGTCATTGGCGCCTTTTTAGAGTCCTTCATAGGCGAAGTAGAAATAAATCGAGAGTTGTAACTCAAACCAACAGATAGGAGCTCTGTAAGGAAACCAAGTGTTGTGCAAGCATGTAAGCAGTGAAAATACTAATGATTTGAAAATTTCTATATTGAACAGTCTAAAATGTTAAACCAGAGTCAACGAAAAGGTGTCTGTTTTGAAGTCAGGTTCATATAATACAATCCATTCGTGATGACGCAAAATTTTCTCTCTACCGAAACATTATGCCTGTGTTTCAGGGATGTTGATGATGCAGGAATACTGAGTGATTGAGGCATTTACTTTCTCTTCTGAATGCCTGACCAGGTCTAGAGGATCCAAACTGAATAGCTTGAAGTTGTAGTTCACGAGTCTAGATCCACATTACTATGTTGATGCGAATAAGAGGGCATTTTGAAATCGCGTTACCTTGTCCAAACCTCATGGAAAAATTTGAGTGACTCACAATTGCTGATCTATCATCGCATCGCAGATGTATGCAAGCAGCTTCAAGCTCGGTGATGCATTAAACAGAGGATGTTGTTTGGCTGCTGAAACTATCCGGTTGAAATAATGCACACACGATGCTAGGGTCCCCATCTCCCCTGAATTGAGTTTTTTTTATAAACAACTGCCCTTCGTATCTATCATCGTTCTCTTTTCCAGGTTAAAACATGTCTTGTTATTTAATTTCCATAATTGTCTTTCAAGCCGCTGTCTGTCTTGTAAAAGCTACTCACCAATCACTTTAGTAGTATTAGTAATCATTGGAAATTTGTTTAATTTTAGTTTAAGTACATCATGTCGACACTCTACGAGTACCTCAACTACCTCAACGAGACAAATCTCCCTCCTAGCGGTCAGAACTTGTACCTCCAATCAAGCCAAAAGGAGGAGTTGAAACAGCACGACCAGGCAATCAAAGTCTGCGTTGAGGGAGGGTGGGTCATACCTAAAATTTGTTAGAAAGGCTTTTTTTTACTTGGTTTATATAAGACAATAAAGTGACTATAAGTCCATTCCCCCAAAAAAATTACAAAACCACAAGATGGTTCCGTTTGCGACCCATGATCCCTCTCCCTTTTGGGAGGTATTTTTTGTTGGGTGCAAGCAATCAAATCCAACCCTGGTCGCCTCTGCTTCATACCGCTTTTTCTATTTCGCATCAAAGCATGTGACTGTGCAACATGTGATAATCATCACATGGAGTGGAACGAATAGAGGGAGTGCGAGGGATGAAGTTCCCTCAACACCACCCCACTCTTTCTCCTTCCCATTCTAAATGACTGGTTGTCGTTGTTTCCCGGGCACAAGTTTTCCTCATAAGAACCCGTGTTATATCGAGTAGAAAGAGCTCAGCTGTAAATGATTGGCCTTCAGCCAGTGAACAATGCAATGGTAACACACCAAGATGAAATGCGTACCCTGAATAGTGGAATACCGTGTCTCTTAGTTTGAGACAAACTTGGATAAGCCACCTAAGTAGAGAGGATCATTATCTCCAGGAATGATGAGAAGGAAGCCTGGTTATTCGTGGAGTAAATAACCGATTCTTTTAAAACATAGATTACAATTTGTTGTCTATAAAGCACTTTTTGACTTTTAGGAAATGTGGGAACAGGGCCAAGTGTGGTAACCGGTCAAGCGTGACCATAGGGCTCAAATAGTTTGACCTGATATATGAGAGCAGTCATAAAGGGGTAAAGAACTCAGCAAATGTCGTTTGTAACCGTCTTCGAAGGTGATGTACCGTTACATGCTCTGTAAGACTTTACTAGTGGATGGTTAGGCAGCCATAGAAGTATGAGGTTCCCTCTCTTGCGATGAGAAATTGATACACTGAGGTGACCAATGCAGAACCTCCCCCCCCCCCCCCCAATACCTCCATCAGAGACTACACTCACTAGAGACAGGAGAAATAACAGCATTTTACCTGTAAAACCAACAGGGCAAAATGGTTGTGCTGTACTTGCTTTGATGCGCTGGGTCTTTGTCTTCGCGGATGGAAGACCAATTGGTACACCAGAGTGCCGAGTTAGCCTACAGAGGTCGTGATGGGTGTTGAAACTCCTCCCTTATGAATGAATGAGATCTTAAGAAAAACAAACCTCAATTACCTGGTATAAAACGAAGAAAAGCGTTTTTTTTTTCAGTTGCTTGCCACTTCTGGAGAATTGACACAGCATGCTAGCTGTTACTTGCAACTGGCGGGAAAATTGTTAGCTAAAGGGATGAACGAACTTAATCCCATTATGGGCATCCTTCTTTCCAAAGGAGCAAACTTTACAGGATCTACACGAATGCCTTCAATCACCACAAATTTGCATATCCCCTACCTACTCTTTGGGTGGAATAAGGGACAAAATGGCCTATCACGTGCTTTTAAAAAAGAGAAGATCTTTAAAATCTGAAGTAGGAAAAGCCACCATTGTGGATAGAGAAGATTTACAGCGTGTGAGAGTGTTTTGTGGAGGACAAGAAGGAGATCAGAATCCAATGATCTGCTTATCTGCAATGATTATTCGATTGAACACATTGGGATGCCATAAAATGAACTGCTTTTGTGTGGTTTTGGCCACCCAGAATTTGAATATTTACAGACAAAATGTTGCATTCCTTTTCAAGGCGAAAAGTTGCCAGATGAATCGCAACAGAGTTGAGGAGGAATGCCCATTCCGAGTCAAATCCATCGCCTTGTTTTCCCGAAACCGAGTTGACTCCACCCCAACACCAACAACAATGGAATCCCCAAGCAGGCAAAGGATAATTTAGCACCTCAAGTTGTTTTTCGAATCTAAATCCACTGTAATCTAAGTTTGCACTTCTGAAGGCTAGCATGACCAGGTTTCGAAGCCTCTAAGGTAGAAACAAAGTGAGACAGGGCAGGTAAATTCATAGCTACTTCACGGCGGTTTAGTTAAATGTGGTAACTCCCTGCACCCGGAAGTTCATATATTACAGTCACCACCGAGAGCATACAACCCAACGATCCAACAAATCTTAACTGTCTTCTACAATTTACTATTTCTCTTAGCGGTACAGCCAAAATTTAAATCTTCGCATGTAACCTTTGTGATCACCTTTCTAGTAAATTAATGTCGATGTCATGTTTTTGTCAGCCTTCAGCGTGAATTCATTTTAACAGAACACCTGCAATCTGAGAGCAGAAAAAAGATATTTTTTCCCAGTTAAAAGCGATTAAGCATTTGCCATCGGCATGTAGGTTTGGGTTGAACCTGAATGCATTAGCCTCCCCCATAAGAATGACTTTTGGATTTATTAAGTTGAAGGTGAGAATACACAACTTCCTTTGGGGAAAGGGGAGGACTGAGTTCTCCTCTCCTCTTTATTTTCTTCTCCAAAAGAACATGTAGCATAAAATAAGTCGGCGCTTATTTCCGACTTTAAGAACTTAATTATTGATAATCCAACTCTACTATGTGACGGTTTTTACAAACCAGTACTTTTAAACTGCATACATTTTGCGCCTATTCTTTTACTTTTGAAGTCAGCAACCCTTTGAGGAGCTGTTTCGGTGGCAGTGCATTCTACAAAGCTATAAACAGGGTCTTCCCAGCCCCACGATAGGCAATTTAGTTAACGTAAAATCAACAAATCAACAAAAACCGCACGATTTGAGATTTTTAGCCAAAAAACTACCTGCTAGCCATTAAATTGCTGCCGTCTTCTCCAACACCAGTTTGCACTTCGGATTCTTCTTCATGAACCATTTATTTTTAATGAAACCACCTGGCACCTAGTTCACATCACGTAGGACAGCAGATTTAACATTTACTGTGGCACATCTGACCTTATCAGGAAGTGCCAAACTTCCTTCTCTGACAGCAAGACTGTTAATGTAATTCTTTTGCAGGTAGGAGGATATTTTGACAAAATCTCCTTTTTTTAATTTGTGGGGTTTCTAAATAATTAAACAAAATTCCACTGATTTTATCACTGACCGAATAAATTAAAATGGGTCGTATTATGCTCATAAAATTAGGAAAGTTGAGAACTGTAAAAGAGATATAAAAACCAAATTTCTCCCTTAAAAATTCATAAACTTAAAAATGGCCCGTTTGTACATGTGAAAGATGAACCGAACCCCTAAAATTAGGATTTAGGGAAATCCGTGGGGTTTGATGCTGCCCCTGCTCGGGGTCATGCCAAACCCATCTGACCGTGGTGGAGGCAATGGATAATATTTTGGGCAT